AAGGGGTACTTTCCATTCTTTTCATGGTAGTAAGTTTTACTCAAGGGCGATAAAGCCATCTCCCTTTATTTCCTTGAATTCTGCCTAGAACCCTCCTGAAACACATGGCAGGAATATCCCAGTAGGCATCTGCAAGACCATGGTTATATCACAGTGCCCCAAAGAAGCCAGGAAGTGAAACACAGTAATTGTAATTAAAGCAAAAAACATTTGTTTAACTAATGAATGTAAGATGGTTTCAAATCGTCATTCAGAGCTGTATGCTGATGAGATTTTAGGAGAAAGGGGGGAAAGGTTCGCTTTAAAGGTCTGGGAGACTGCAAAGCTCCTGCTGCCATAGAAAGTAAGAAGAGGTGAGCTTTCATTTCAGTTTCTCAATTGTGAATTTTGAAGATTGACTTCTCCACATTGTGCCTATAGGTACAGAGGTCAGTCAGGGCTTGTTTTAAAGTGCTTTTTACTCCTCATTCAAATTATTTTAATATTTTTTCATTTGCATAGTCTGGGCACAATTGCTCTTTAAACTGTACTGAAGGGCTGCAGTGGTGTATACAGTATATTTACTGGAATTTCAAATATAAGCAGTGAATTTGTGAATGCATTTTTCACATTTAAAAATACAACTTTTCATAAAAAGAATATATACTTAGTACCTGCCCCCAGAATGTTGTAGAGACAGAATATTACAGGTTGGGTGCCTCCTTTGATGCAAAAGTTCATTGAATGGGGTCCTCAATGGCAAATTTTTGTTGCATTGATAACAGTTTTTCCATTCTTACCACATAGCACAGTTTCTGCTGAACAAAACAAGTGGCTTAGCTGTCTGCTTCCATTTATAACTTAGTTATTTACAATATATTTTACATTATGATCATTTCTAGATATTGTTTCTTATATTTGCTTTTTTAAAGAAACAGAAGGCATTCCTGTAACACCCTGTCACATAATCAGTAGTGTACACTTGGTTACAGGTTGCTTTGCAAACACCTAAGTATGTTATAGTACGCCTAGGCTATTCACCCATTTCTAACAATAGGTAGGTATTACAAACATCATTCTACAGTACAAAAAATGACCACTGCCCCAGTCTATAACTGGCCTTCACAGCAAGGAGCACATGAAAGGGCAACACATGTCAAACAATAAAAGTGGCCATTTTTTGTACTGTTGAATTGTTGGTCAAGGGGCGCACTGGACACCTTAGCTGCCGTTGTGCTATATGCTGGGTGTCCAGTGCGCTCCTGTACCTTTAGAGAGGGGTGGGCTCCCTCAGGTCCACCGGCCCTTGGTCTATCCATTAAATACATGTGCCTCTACTATGGGGGCTCTCAAAATTTGTAGAGTTAGGAACTACAGAATATCGGGGGGCCGTGACGAGGCTGTGTAGCTTTGCAAATGTTTGCTAATTAAACCCCTGTTTTTAACGCATACTGTTAGACAGGTTAATTTGGTTTGTTTGCAGCTGGTATTACAAACATCATTCTAGTTGGCTGGCCTACCCAAAACTAATATTTAATACAGTGTGGGGATGCCAGCATGCAATATTATCTTTCAGCAAGCTTTGCTCCTCAAAATTTGGCAGGTTTGGGTAACAGGACAGGTAATTAATAGTTTGTGTAGAAGGAAGGACGACTTTTTAAGGGATTATTTAATTTACTGAAAGTCCATCTAAATGTTCAGCTAATGTATTCCAGGTGTATCAAAACAAAAGGTATGCAAAGTCTTGCTGTCTTTGGAATGCAGCCACAGCCTGCGTAGAAAAGCCTCTCCCCTGCTTCAGAGAAGGACCCTTGCAATTTTTTGTGGAAGCAGCAGTCTCTCTACAGAAGTCCTTTTGAAAGATTAGAACTATAGTTATCCAATCAGCAGGGACCATGAATTTTGCTGGTTGCAGAGCTGTACGGTTGCTTCTAAACAAAGAGCAAGAGTCCATCTTTGCACCCATGCTGACAGGGGGCAGGATTTGCCACTCAGGCTGTGGCTACTTTCTAAAGAAAACAGACTGTAAGATTTTGCACATCAGCTCCATGAACACGGTGCGTTTGGAGAACTCTTCTGAATGCTGGAAATTGACAGCAGTAAAATGCAGATTAAAAAACCTCAGTTTTGCCACGTTTGCATACTGCGTGTTTATGAGTGTTTGTGTTCAGAAGCATTTTTAAAGATAAGTACAGGAGGACCTCCCAAATGCCCAAAATGCACTTAAAAATGGTAAATTATTAACTATTTCAGACTGTTTTACAGAAAGAGTAGAAACAGAGAGCAGTGTTTGTTGAGCTTAGCTGTCTTCTTTTTTTTTGTGGTGTTTGGATGTGTTCCAGCTCATTTCTGTGCAGAAATTATTACAGCAGTGTCTAACATATTTTCTTTCATGCAAAACCTCAAAGTATGGTGTACCAGGTCCATTTGAGGATCGGGAAAATGCTTTCCATGCATTTTTCATGATGAAAAAAGGCTCTGGACAGCATCTGGAATTGGAAGAGTTAATGGAAGTTTGGTGTGGTCAAAAAAACGACTGTAAACTCAACTGCCTATAAACGACTGTAAAGGACATAGTGTACATGGACACATAGGAAAACATTAGGGGAGAGCTGAAAGAAATGCAGAAAAGCTCCTAAACATGAGTTTATCAGCTGCAGTGTACATGGAGCCTTAATGTGTCAGAAATGTGTTTCGCTGATTTCAACTGAAAGTGTAATTAGGCTTGAACCATACTGTTGCACTTTTTTATGTGAAACATTGATAATCCCTAAACAAAAGAGTGCATGACTCCCAAAATATATTGGCTTTTGCTGCTTTGTGTATCTAGTACTTACTCGCTAAGATCAGCATTACTTATGTTCAGTTTATATTCATCTGGAGAGTACTCTATGTATATGATAAAAGTGTTTTTGGTTTTTACTTTCTACCAATTAACAGAAAAAGGCAAAGCCAGTCCTCAATGAACAGAAATCAGTGTTCATTTGGCAAAATGCCACTAATTTGCAATATAATCCAGTTTTTTATTACATCATCATCCTGGAGAAAGTACCTAAACTTATATCTGCACCTTCATAACTTTAACTAAACAGAGGAGCATAAATAATTATAAAGCTTGGATACATTCTTATGTTTATGCAACAGATATGGTGCCTTCACCTTTTCAGAAAAACATAAAAACAAGGGACATGAAGTCACGCTAAAAGAACATTTGGTTACACATTGCTTAGAATTGTTATTACTGCACACAATACAGTGAAATGAGACCATATATAAGTATATTTAGCCCAAACACCAGTAAAATAAAAAAGTAACAAAATATAGATGAACCTGGAGGGGAATTGATAGTATTTTCCAACAATCAGATTCAAGCAGACAACTGCCTACTGCAGGATACCAAATGACATCTGAATTATGAATGTTTTAGATAATAGAAATGCCCTCCATTTACATTTCTCTTTTTCTCCTTTAGAATATATAATATATTGTATGGTATAGTATAAATAAATATGAAAATCGATGCAGAGGCAACAAAGATCCCATTCTTAAACCAAATAGGCACTTTATTCCAGCAAAAATTATGCAGTCATCCAACTGCTTTATAAAGGACAAAAAAAGTTCCTTGTTCCAGGGAAAACTCCTCTTTCTGGGGGTCGCAGCATTCAGCAATAGGTTCCATAGCACTGGCAAATGTGCAGCAGCCTCCAGTTTTTGTCCCTTTTCACATTAGTGTGATTTCTCCTGCATCTGCTGTTGCGTTGTAATGCACAACAAAAGAAAGCGCATTATTCCCTGTGGTGCCCATTCACATCAATGCACCTGCACCATGGTGGCAGTGTGATTTTTGAAACGGTGCATGTGCTTCTTTTGGTGCAGCATAGTGTGTTTGTGGCCTCATAGACTTCAGTGCAGGAAAAAGGTATGAGACATACAATGTTGGTGTGTCTTGGCAGGGTTTTGTGTTTCACACTCAGTCTCTTCCTCCTACAAAATAATGCATGAAGCACGAAAAAACATGTGCATAAAAACATGGAAGAATGCATTGATAAAAACATGGAAGAATGCACTGATAAAAACATGGAAGAATGCACTGATGCACTGATAAAAACATGGAAGAATGCACTGATAAAAACATGGGAAAATGCACTGATAAAATACAGCTTGGTGCAGATGAACTTATAAGTGAATCTGCCAGCTAATATTGAGGTAAGGTGAGGATGTCACTCTCCACCTCGTTCAATCAGAGAACACTTTGCATTCTTTCATAAAATGCAACTCACTCTCTGAATGGCCCCTGTGCCAGTCAGCTGAACTCCTGTGTTGTAGCAGCAAGGTTGCCACTTGGTGCTGAACCTGGCAGCAAATGGAGATCACTGGAGTAGCGGCATCTACTTTCGTGATTTCCATCACCTGGGGCATCAGCCAGTTGTGGTATATAGCAGGGTTTTCAACTAGGGTTCCTCCAGAAGTTGCTAGGGGTTCCTTGCGCAATTTCTGTCTCTCAAATAGGTTTCCACTGACACCATGGATTTTTAGATATCTGTAAAGGCGAAATTCTTCCCCATGACCACAAGTGAAAGGAGCATTCTTCCCACTGACAATCACACTAATGTATCACGAGTTGTAAATATAGACATTTTTACCAGGGGTTCCCTGACACCAGAAAATTATTTCAAGGTATCTTCACTGTTGCAAAAGGTTGAAAAAGGCTGGTATATACGTACTTATGCTCCAAGATGTAACTCTATACAGCACAGGTGTCAAATTGGCGGCCCTCCAGCTGTTGCCAAACAACAAGTCCCTTCAGGAATTGCAAGATTGACAGTTAGAAGCATGACTGCCAAAGGTAGAGGCATGATGGGACTTGTAGTTTCGCAACAGCTGGAGAGCCGCCAGTTTGACACCCCTGGTATACAGTATAAGATATCCATACCTGGAATTCTTCTTTAACATTTATTGGCATTTATTTAACTGATTTCATGATGTTTGTTATTTTTGGGGACATGTTTAGAAATATTAGCAAAGTGACCGGAATTTCCACTTGTAAAAACACAAAGGTTCTAGCAATGTTGAAAAATTCAATGCTAGCAATGTTTTAAAACTAGAAATCTAATTGTTTCCTTACAGAGAGCTGCTTGATACCACGTGCCGGATTGCCAACACACTGAAGAAGCATGGCATAAAGAAAGGGGATAGAGTGGCCATTTACATGCCTGTGTCACCCCTAGCTGTGGCATCCATGCTAGCCTGTGCCAGAATCGGTGCAGTGCATACTATAGTGTTCGCTGGCTTCAGTGCTGAATCTTTGTCAGGAAGAATCAATGACGGTAAGTTGGAACTGTTGTTTTATTATGTTATTATTGATACTTACTGGGCCATTTAGGCCATATGAAGACCTAGGGCAAAAAAAAAAAAGAGTAGCTTTGTTGGGAATAAGTAAAGTTTGTGTTTGCATTAGGGAACGGAAGGAATACTTCATTTTATACCAAACAATGACCCATGGGCCATATCCATCCTGCTACAAGATTTTATCCAGTCCACATCAACTCTTTGTGAAAATACCTTGGCTGGCTGGTTGGCAGTAGATGTGCTGGCCTGTGTATTGTAATTACTGGCAGGATTCACAGGCAGCCAACTGTGAGCCTTCCTCCTCTCAGTGCAGATCCCCCCACCGTAGTTGGTTTCTAGGACCACCAGCAACCTAAAAACCACTGACACAATTGCCCTTTCTCCAGAATTTGCAGGAGAACAAGACTTCCTAGACTTCTTTGTTGAGACCTGTTCCACCTCGTAACTTCCACCTTGCTCCTCTGCACCCTGAAAGGTAGGGGGGACTTTGCTGGGCGGTATGAACAGGAGCCAGGCGCTGTGTAGTTTTGTGATAAAAAATAATACACCTTGTATGGAGGTGTGCCTTTAATAAGTCATATGGTAAAAAAAATAAATAACCAGCCTGTGGCTTTAGGAAGCCAGGTTCCAAGATGGACAGCCCATCCGCTCAGAGGGAAGCAGTGGAGTAGAATGCCTGTCAGTGCAGGGACCACGTGTACCCGACGTCCCAGCGTCCTGGTTGACGTCACCACGATGTGGAGAGACGGAGGGACTTTGCTGGGCACACATGGATATAATGGGGATCTCTGTGGGGCACACTTGTATGGGGGGCTCTGCTGGGGACTCCTGGATGAAAGGGGGAACTATGATGGCCACTCCTGGATGCAAGGGGGGACTCTGACAGGCACTACTGGATGAAAGGTGGGAGTCTGATGACCACTCCTGGATGCAAACAGGGATACTTGAAGGGCACTCCTGGCTAAAAGGAGGGACTCTGATGGGCACTCCTGAGTGAAAGGGGGGAATCTGATGGGCACTCCTGGATGAAACGGGGTAGTCTTTATAAAACGTTTTCTGACCCCCCTTCCCCAAATATATGATGCGGTCCTCTTTCTAAAAAGTGACCCCCGATTTATATGGTGCCTTTATAACCAACTTGAATTTATAATTAAGTTACTTTACATCTGAAAGAGACATTACCTCAAGTGATCTCCAATATTGGCTGCAGCATTTATATGACTCCCGTTTTTAATGGATTGGATCGATGCTACACAGTTGGCTTTTTTCATTCATTTCAGATTTCAGGGTTGTTGGGAAACTGTGGAGATGGAGAGAACTGCTGATGGAATGAGCAGTATGATTAGTCGGACAGGTACAGCCAAGAGGAGCCTTGTAGGCGTGAATGAGATAATAACATGGGAATCCAGTTCACAGTACTTAGTGTTGGACGTGTTAAAGAAGCTGATTTATAAATGTTGTTCTGAGAAAAGGATGGCGTAACACTTTCTTTTCTGTTAATTTATGGTTGCTGGAGTCCACAGCTGATCCTTCATGATTCTATTCTTGTTCGTGAATTTGTTCTGTCATCATATCAAGTTAATATAATCCAAGTCGTAGAGACTTGGCAGCTTTCATGTCACTCTCTCCTCTTACACAAACTTTGCTTAAAATAAATTTATTTTGATTATCCATCACTATAGTATAGATAAAATTAATTAGATCCCTTTTTGCATTGAACTTATAACACAGAAATTTGCACACATTTAAAGGGATAATGAAAATGTAGTACATTTTTTTTTGTGCATTAAAAGTAAAAAAAGTGTATTTTTTTCAAAAATCGCTGTTTTTTTCAAAAAAATTGCAGCACCCACCATTTTATTCACTAGGGTGTCTGTTTTAAAAAAATATGTAATGTTTGGGGGTTCAAAGTAATTTCCTAGCAAAAAATAAAGATGACTTTTTTATATATTAAAAAAAAATCTGAAGAATATATTTTTAAAAAATCTGAAGAATATATTTTTAAAAATATATATTTTTAAATATATTCTTCAGATTTTTTGTAACATATAAAAAAGTCATTTTAATATATATTTTTACATATATTTGTAAATGCATTCCAAAAATGTAGATTTGTATATTTGAAATATATATATATATATATATATATATATATAAAAAAACAATGCTACAATTTTGGCCATATTATTATTATTTATTATTATTATTATACAGGATTTATATAGCGCCAACAGTTTGCGCAGCGCTTTACAATATAGGGGAGACAGTAAAATTACAATACATTTCAGTACAGAAGGAATAGAAGGGCCCTGCTCGTGGAGCTTACAATCTAAAGGAAGGGGGAGGTGATACAAAAGGTGATAGCTGCGGGAGGTGATTCAAGTACAGTTCTTAGGTGGAGGTGGGGTAGGCTTCCCTGAAGAAGTGAGTTTTCAAAGATCGCCTAAAGGCAGACAGGGTGGGGGCTGACTGGACATGCTGTGGTAGGGAGTTCCAGAGGATGGGAGAGGCTCTGGAGAAGTCCTGGAGGCGAGCGTGGGAGGAGGTGATGAGGGAGCTAGAGAGGAGGATATAATGGGAGGAGCGGAGTGGGGGCAGTATCTGTGGATGGTTGGTGATGTAGCTAGGGGCAGTGTTGTGGATGGCTTTGTAAGCTGTAGTTAGAATTTTGAATTTTATACGTTGGGTTAATGGAAGCCAGTGGAGGGATTGGAAGAGAGAGGCAGCAGTCGCCGATTGGTTGGTAAGATGTATGAGTCTAGCAGCAGCATTCATAATAGACTGAAGGGGGATAGACTGTGTAATGGTAGACCAGTGAGGAGTGAGTTGCAGTAATCGAGGCGGGATATAACCAAGGCCTTGGGGTACCCCAACAGAAAGAGGAATCGGAGCGGAGGAGGAGTTGTATGTGCCATTGGTTGTAGTAATGACGGTTCATTTTCAGGATTTCTGAAGACAGACGTAGCAGAGGAACTGGCTCCATTAAATCTGAATAAAGTAATGGGCCCTTATGGTATTCATATCAGAGTTAAAAAATAACTATGAGGTATGGATGTTGAACCATTAACCACTTGATAACCACGCTATAGCGGAATGACGACTACAGCATGGTTACCCGGTTCTGGGAGGGCAACATATGCTGTCTTCCCGCGCACCCCCAAGGGCGAGCACCCAGCAATCTCCGTGATCGGTGTGTCCTAAATATAAATAAATATATTGAATATGGCCAAAATTGTAGCATTTCAAATATATGTCAATATATTTGGGAAGAATCTTTTTAAAATATATTTAAAAAATATTTTTCTTTCATGAGGGCCTGCTGACAGCTGAATTGTAAACAAAACAGTTGCCAGCAGGTATCTGTAATTGGTATTGGTGAGTAATAACATAAAGGATTTGATACTCGCTGTAAAAAAATGGTACTGGTGCATCCTTAATTGGTGGTGGAGAAAAAAACAGCTGCAGGTACACAAGGGAGCAAGCTTTGGCTGGAGAAAGCACATTAATCTGGCATGCAGAGGAATGGCTTAAATCAGGAAGAGGCAAGACAAGATAGTCCAAAGGATCAGACAGGGAGCTATCTAGCATCTAAGGTGACTCAGCAAGAAGAGCCATTGCGAAAGTTGTGGGTTCAGGTCCCGGTCCTGACAATGTCAGGTAAACGTCTCTAACAAATTTAAAGGTAGATGCTCTTCTACATTCTCTCTGCACACTCGCTGTGACCAATATAAGGAATTTCCACTCTCCCTGTTGGGTTGTTTTCTGTTTCAATACATTTTCATTTAGGTTTAAACATTGAAAATTATAAACATAATGAAAGATATGTAAACAGCATGGAATTTCAGATAGGAAAAAGGCTGGCCCAGCAGGCATGAAAGAGTGGGTAGTAGGTGTGGGGGTGATAGAGTGTCAAGGACACAGGAATGGCATTGAATATAGGGTGAGGGTAAGAAGTGGCGTAGAGACAGTAAAGAGCAGGAAAGAAGCAAAGGGGGAAATGGGGGGGGGGAGGTAGAAAAAAAGAGGAGTGAGAGCAAATATACAAGTGGGAGTCAAGAAATCATCAAACATTTCAATGTGATATACAACACTTAACACAAAGAAAAAGAGAATGGTCAAAACCTGCAGGCAAATGGTAGCTTAACCAGAGGTTCTATACAGCTTGACATTTTGCCAATGTATCTGACAGTATTGCCATTAATTTTCTGTACTAGCTCAGGTTGATATGGCCCATTTATCCAGACCACCTTACACATGTAATTAGAGAGGTTCAAGAGGCTGCGCAATTCAAAGTTTTTTTATTTAATATTGCTTTCATTGGGCTCTGGCCCTGTTGGTTTATTTATTTTAATATGGACAATAGGACAGGAGGAGCTGGAACACAAAGATGGAGTTCTCCCAAAATGCTTAGGTGACTTTGAACAGATTCCGGAATTAGGGCAGGGAGGTCTCACTGTTGGTGTTTCCAAGAAATATATATACTTGAGACACCATGCTTCATCTACTCTATATTCTAAAATATTACTTGTGACCCTGCTGATCCTCTAAAGTATCATATTACTTGCCCATGGCTTTGATATACACTTACTGGCCACTTTATTAGGTACACCTTACTATTATTGGGTTGGGCCCTCATTTGCCTTCAGAACTACCTTAATTCTTTGTGGCATAGATTAAACAAGGTGTTGGAAACATTCCTCAGAGATTTTGGTCCATTGACATGTTGGCTTTCTATCATTTTGAGTCTGACTATTCTCCACTGACCTCTGACAGGCGTTTTTCATCCATACAACTGCTACTGACTGGGTATTTTCTCTTTTTTCGTACCATTCTCTTTAAACCCTAGAGATGGTTGTGCAAGAAAAGTAGTAGATCAGCAGTTTTTGAAATAATCAAACCAGCCCGTCTGGCACCAACAACCATGCCATGTTCAAAGTCACTTAAATCCCCATTCTTCCTCATTCTGATGCTCGGTTTGAACTTCACCACATCTAGTTGCCTAAATGCATTGAGTTGCTGCCATGTGATTGGCTGATTAGCACTTTGTGTTACCAAGCAATTGAACAGGTGTACCTAATAAAGTGGCCAGTAAATGTATACAGTATTCCAGCATTCTTTTGCTTTCGCTCTCACTTTACAAAAACAGTGCAGGGATGCACCTTGCCGCTGATCATTTTTAAAATTTCAATAGAACTTTGTTTTTGATGATCCCTTTATATCAAACATATACATTATCTTTATATAATATACAAATTAATCAATCACTGTAATCCGTAAATTGTTTTAGATGTAGTGGCAATTGTGGAGCTGATGCAATTCTGCCTGTCTCCCTTTTACTGTATTGAAATGGTAATCTATTACCTCCTGAAAAGAGCGAGCTATGATGTAGAACAACATTTATGTAGAGGTGCTTGAGTACAAAGGGAGCCTGGATCAAGTCTCTGCTAACCTGAATATGACACCACCATGAAGAAAAAATGTTAATAAAAGCAAAACAAACAATAAAACCTAGAAATCTTCAACCAATCGGTCAGATGTAATAAATGGCATGTGTACTATTCTGAACTTGTCAAACTGAGGTATGTTTATGTGTATGTGAGTTTTGATAACAAATCTGTGAGAATGGAGCCATTGCACACATTCCTTTCCATAAAACCAGAATGTAATCTTATCTTTATGAAAAATGATTTACACAGATATCCTTTTCTGTGCAGATCTTGAAGGGACACTGAAAGGGAAAAAAATGCTTCTAAACTGAAAGGAAAGATTTGACCTTGGGCTTTATCTCACCACTACTCTACATAAAATTGGAAATACTATATATGGCATTCCTGTTGTAACATTTTGGTGTACATATCTTGAATGATGATGAGTTGGGCATGTTCGGATCCTACTGTGAACCCATCTTAACAAGTCTCCTGTACTGGGCCAATCGTCTGTGACCTGGACATTCCCTGCCCTGCAGCCGCATGTATACAAAGGACTTGTATACATGCGGCTGTGGGGTAGGGAATGTCTCAGTTGCTGACTGGTGAAATATAGAAGTGTAAGAATATCTGCTGTTGCTGTTCGGGGGAGATTTCCTTTACTTCTTGTTCTGGTGAGACAAAAAGACAGATAAATCAGTATAAACTTGACAGAAATTTGAATGCTTCCCCTTCTACAAAATAAATGCTTGCTGCATTCTACAGTATGTCCCCATTGGAGAGATTTCCAGTGACTTCTTGTCCCTCTGACAACCTGCCATTGTGTCATAAAATTAAGGGACAAAATCCTGAGAGAGGTTCTAGTATTTCCTGACTGCAGCCTATCCATTACTATTTAACTTTCCTTTCAAAACAACTTTATCAAAAGTAAAGATCCATTAAATGGAAAGGGTGCAAGAAGAATTCTTTTTTTTTAAATTAAAACAGTAAACAGCAAAAATGTACTTCACAAAATTGTGTGTGGCTGGAATGCTACAACTCATAGAGTCTGCTGTTGATTCACATTTTAAAACACTAAGCAGATTGTTATCTAACTGAAATCTATACCTTTATTTTTTTTTTTCTGCATATCCCTTTTATATAGTATATTGTGATGTTTTGTCATGGTTTTTCGCTGACACATGTCCAATATTTTCCATCTCAATAGCAAGCTGCAAAGCCGTCATCACTTTCAACCAGGGTCTGAGGGGTGGAAGAATGGTAGAACTGAAGAAGACTGTGGATGAAGCTGTCAAGAGTTGCCCTTCGATCAAACATGTATTTGTTGCTCAGAGAACTGAGAATAAAGTCCATATGGGTACTCTTGACATACCTCTTGAAGAAGTACGTTATTTTTAAGTATAGTTATACTATGAGATATGGAGCTTGATTTACTAAGGTTTGAAATTAAATAAAATGACATGCAGCTGTGGGTACTTCCAACACCTAATCATGTGCAGAAGAATTTGACATATAAGTCTTCACCAAACTGGAACGCATTTAATTTCACTTCATCTCTTGTCACTTGTATCAGAGAACAGTTGCCCATTTCATGATTACTACACACTGCTTTAAAACAATAAAGAGGTAGCAGCAAAAGCTTTATAGTACTCACCTTTTCTTGAAGATAAATCAAAGTATATATCATCAGCATGCCATGGATCTTGAAAATACCAATCACTTTTTTTTAAAGTGATCACATCACAGTGATGAACGTGCCATACTTCGGAGCTACCCAGGACCCCTTCATCAGGCACGTGATAAGTGCATAGAGCAGTGTAGAAATATTTAAAGTACCATCAACCAATCGCAGAACAGTGGTGGCTGGTACTTTAAATGTTTCTACACTGCGCTATGCACCTATCACATGCCTAATAAAGGGGCTCCAAGATGTTGCACTTTCACCAACGTGCTGTGACCATTATTTTCAGCATCCATGGTGTCCTGACAATTCTGACGCTTTGATTCATGTTGACACCAGTTTTCAGCTGGTAGCTGCTACAGCATCCATATACTTAAGGCCATCTCTAAGACGATGGGAATATTCTACATTTTCTTGAAGGTAGTCAAGTGATCAAATGTCAACACATTCCTGTCTTGTGGTCTCAAAAGAGCCTTGCAGCTTAATGTTTAGGCAACTCTTGGAAGTTAGTGGCTCTGCCTGAACACTGATTCTTCCTGTAGCTAAAACATGTGACTAGTGATTTGGCATTCAGTAACATGGTTGGCAACTTCTGTAACAGCTATTGGTTTAGAACCACAGAACAGGTAATACATTTACACAGTGACTACCAGCTTTCCAGTTTAAGGATTATTGACTTGGATATCAGATTGTCTGAATGGAAGATTCAGCGGTTTCATTGCTGCTTCAGAGTTTGTGGTTCTGATACAGCTCCTTCTATTGCCTCCCCATTAGTATCTGCCAGTTTTGTTCATGGGTCACCAAATATGTTGCAAATCAAACCACTGAAGACATCTTTTTTGGCTTCCAGTATCCTGCTATACAACTGGATTGGCCATCCATAATAGTGTTTGAATCTAACAAATATTGATTCAGGAGACATAGCTATGTATAAAGTTGTTTATGTCCCAAATTAAACCTATGAGGACAGAACTATGGGCGCAGTCATTTCTGACTTTGTTTTTAAGTTTTAGGTTCCAGGGCTGTGATGTTGATTGTAATTTCAGTTCCTGCCAACCTGAAAGGAGCCAATGTGTATTGGCTGTGTGTTCCTTTTCCAGGTCAGTAACTCACTGGGATTAGAAACAGAGGATGCCTGTCCAAGAGTCTGCATCATTAAAATAAGTTAGATTTCAGACCGCCTAACCGTTTACTCTTTTCCAGCATTCATTTTGCTTACAAATCTAATCCCCTTTAGGAATGTAGATGTATCTCGAGGATCCTATTATGTTGTTTTTACCTGGAGAGGTATATAATTCAATTACAAATTCCAAGTTCAACCCAGCACTTGCAACCTCCTTTTAAGCCCTGACTTTCCTCCTGTTATCTATAAACCCAATTTCCAATGGTAGGTTTTAAACATTTTCGGAGAAGGGAGTGAAGTGTCTCTCATTCTTACATCATTTCTAAATATAATCCTTCACCCACTGAACAACAATGCACACTGAGAGTTTTGCATTTCCTTGCATTATGTGGATATTCAAAGTATTAACATCTTTCATCCTCGGAGATCGTGTGTTTTTATACCCTGTTAAAAAATTGTGTGCTTTCTTATAACTACTCGATGTTTAGAAACTGTTGACTTTAATAAATTACCTTTATGGTTAAATGGTAGAAGGACCTCTTCTTTACTATATTGATTTCCTGATGAAAATACTGTTGCAAGATTTTAAGAAGTCCCTTAATAGAAAACTGGATTAAGATCACCAGATATCCTTCAATAAATCTTTCAAAAATTCTGATCTTCTACAGTGTGTTGATAAATCATGAACATTGATGTTTCTATCTTATAGACAGACCTCCAACACATTTTGTTGGCAGCCAACCCAGTTTCCATCTAAATGAAGATACCTACCTTGTCATTTTGAGTAGCTATTCAAAAAGTCAATTTAGTAATCATTTAATACAATACAGACAGACTCTACTGACACCAACCTTAAACTTGAAGCCCTTTGATGGCTCATTGTAAATGTATGGGTCTGTGAGTCACAGCCTTAGATTGCTAATATTATACTCATGACACTGAGGAGATTCCACAGCTACCCTGGCTTCAACCATCTCTGTCATATTGATGTATCACATCACGCTATTCACACTGATTAAATATTCCACTTGTTCTTGCTCTGGCAGTTCTTTTTTGTAAAATCTGTTTAGAATTATCAGTTACCCATCCACTATGTAGCTATGTATTATGATCATTTTCCCCCTGCAAGAAGCCTTTATCTACTGATTGAAGTCAGCATTGGCAGCTTTCATATTTTTGTCCTTGTGGGTTTACTATACATTTCTGACCTAAGTAAGCCTACCTATCTCTTTATCTGTGAACTGTCCTTAAAAAAACAACCACTATTTCCTGGATATACCAGTTGTATAAATTAACGTACCATTCTGTACTTTATTAAGACACATATAGCTTGTGGCCACATGTAATTATGTAATATGAAAGGTAGATTGAGGCTTAAGGCATACTCATAACTATTGCATCTGTAGCATTGCCCCCTTGGGAGTTGCTGAATATTTGGGTCCCCCTATAGTCCTGCACAGCCAGGCAACACACATTTTCTTCAGACTTGCATTACAGCTTGCATACAGGAGACAGTAAACAGTCTTTGAGTTTGTTTTGTATTTTATTAAGGGGTATTGAACTTGGATGGGGTTGACGGGTGTATAGGATGCCCAAGGGAACTGTGAACTGACAACAAACCCCCTAAAAACTATGTACAAGTCCTTTAGACACCAAGGTCTCTTTGTTGGAAGAGCTCTTCAGCCCTCCAGGTGTACAACCTCAGACCCCAGATTAAATCTCCTATTCACCCAGCTGCCTGAGTGAATCCCTGGGCAAGGGGACCCAGAATCTGCCACTTTTAAATCAACAGTCCCAGATGGGGGCTCATCAGGTTTCCCACCAGAATGCCCTCTCCCCTTATCTGGGATTACCAACTCAGTCCTCTCCTGCAAGCTTGTGGGTTGGTGGCTGCCTTCAGGTCTTACACTGGGTTGGCTCCTTCCCTGCTTCCCAGGCTGTCCTCCCTCAGGGGACGATTGAGGCTGAGAGATCCTTCTAGCCCCTTCCCCTATCCTGGACTCCCTCCCAAGCTTCACACAGCATCCTCCTGCTCTCACATCTTCCACCTGACTCTCCCTGCTACTGAGCAGGCTCTATCACTCTTAAGGGCTGTCCTGACCCCATGCCAAGCCTCCTGCTTGGGGATTGGTCAGGACACTTCAAAAGTGCAGAACAGTTCTTCCTCACCCCCGCCCACTGAGTTCTAGAGACTTCTCCAAGTCTTCTAGATCAGTGGGAGGTATCAGAGAGCTGATCTGCAGAGCCTCTCAGCCCTGACCCAAACTTAACCCTCTGACTATCACCCAGGCTGCAGTATATATATATATATATATATATATACAGTTGTGTTCAAAATAATAGCAGTCAGACATCACTAACCTGATCAATCACTGTTTTTGGTAGAAATTATAATTCTACATGGCAAATAATTTACTAGCAGGTGTAGTAGAGTAATAGAAATCCAACAGACCCAACCGTCATTACATGCATGCTGCTGATTCTGTGTAATTGAATTACTAATTGAAAGGGGCATGTTCAAAATAATAGCAGTGTGGAGTTCTATTAGTGAGGTCATTCATTCTTTGAAAAACAAGTGGCAATTATTGCCCTTATTTAAGGAAGGAAGGCAGCAAATGTTGTACATGCTCATTACAGTGCATTTCCCTCTGAAATTCTGAGGAAAATGGGTCGTTCCAGACATTGTTCAGAAGAACAGCGTACCTTGATTAAAAAGTTGATTGGAGAGGGGAAAACATATAAAGAAGTGCAGAAAATGATAGGTGGCTCAGCTAAAATGATCGCAAATGCTTTAAAATGGCAACCAAAACCTGAAAGACGCGGAAGAAAGCGAAAAACTACCATTTGAATGGATAGAAGAATAGCCAAAATGGCAAGGACTCAGCCAACAATCAGCTCCAGGAAGATCAAAGAAGGTCTAAAGTTACCTGTGAGTACTGTTACAATTAGAAGACGCCTATGTGAAGCCAAGCTATCTGCAAGAAGCCCCCGCAAAGTCCCACTGCTGAAAAAAAGACATGTGCTGAAAAGGTTACAATTTGCCAAAGAGCACATTGACTGGCCTAAAGAGAAATGGCTCAACATTTTGTGGACTGATGAAAGTAAGATTGTTCTTTTTGGGTCTAGTGGCCCAGCGAAGCATGGTTGCGCAAGCATCATGATATGGGGATGTTTCCCATACTACGGTGTTGGGCCTATTTATCGCATACCAGGGATCATGGATCAGTTTGAATACATCAGAATACTTGAAGAGGTCATGCTGCCTTATGCTGAAGAGGAAATGCCCTTGAAATGGGTGTTCCAACAAGACAACGACCCCAAACACACCAGTAAACGTGCAACATCTTGGTTCCAGACCAACAAGATTGACGTTATGGAGTGGCCAGCCCAATCCCCGGATCTTAATCCAATAGAAAACTTGTGGGGTGACATCAAAAATGCAGTTTCTGAGGCAAAACCAAGAAATAGAGAAGAACTGTGGAATGTAGTCCAATCATCCTGGGCTGGAATACCTGTTCACAGGTGCCAGAAGTTGGTTGACTCCATGCAAGACAGATGTACAGCCGTTCTCAGAAACAATGCTTATACAACTAAATATTCATTAAGTGATTCAAAGGAAAGCAAAATCTTCAAACATTTTTCAGTTTATATAGTGAATGTTTGAGTTTGTAAAGAAGAATACAAACACTGCTATTTTTTTGAACAGTCTAATATTCACTTTTCTTCAATTTTTAAGAGGAACAACACAAATTTGATATATTTTTCTTCATGTTTTGATTTGGAATAGAATGTGTAGTGTTCCCAATGCATTTGTGTTTATGGATATAAAAGGATTTTGAGATTTATTCTCTTTTTTTCAACACGCTGCTATTATTTTGAACACAACTGTATATATACAGTTGCAAGAAAAAGTATGTGAACCCCTTGGGATTACGTGGAGTTTTGCATGAATTGGGCATAAAATGTGCTCTGAACGTCATCTAAGTCACAACAATAGAAGAACACAGTCTGTTGAACATAATACTACACAAATATTAGATGTTGCCATGGTTTAATTGCACATAACATGTAAACATTCACAGTGCAGGAAGGAAAAAGTATGTGAGGCCCTAGCTTAATGACTTCTCCCAGAGCTAAATGGAGCCAGGAGTGAGCCAACCTTGACTCCAATCAGTGTGATGATATTGGATGTGTTGCTGACAGCTCTCCTGCCCTTAAAAAACACACACCTGTTTTGGGTTTACTGGTTTCAAGAAGCACTGTCTGATGTGAACCATGCCTCGCAGAAAAGAGCTCTCAGAAGACCTGCGATCAAGAATTGTTGGCTTGCGTGAAGCTGAAAAGGGTTACAAAAGTATCTCCAAAAGCCTTGATGTTCATGTGTCCACGGTAAGACGGACTGTCTACAAATGGAGAAAGTTTAGCACTGTTGCTACTCTCCCTAGGCGTGGTCGTCCTGTAAAAATTACTGCAAGAGCACAGCGCAGAATGCTACATGAGGTAAAGAAGAATCCCAGAGTGTCAGCTAAAGACCTACAGAAATCTCTGGCACATGCTAACATTTTTGTTGACACATCTACAATAAGGAAAACATTAAACAAGAATGGAGTACATGGGAGGACACCACGGAGGAAGCCATTGCTGTCCAAAAAGAATATTGCAGCACGTTTGAAGTTTGCAAAAGAGCACCTGGATGTTCCACAGCACTACTGGCAGAATATACTGTGGACAGATGAAACCAAGATTGAGTTGTTTGGGAAGAACACACAACACTATGTGTGGAGAAAAAAAGGCACAGCACACCAACATCAAAACCTCATCCCCACTGTGAAACATGGCGGAGGGAGCATCATGGTTTGGGGCTGCTTTGCTGCCTCAGGGCCTGGACGGGTTGTTGTTGTCATTGATGGGAAAATGAATTCCAGAGTTTATCAAGAAGTTTTGCAGGAAAACGTACGACCATCTGTCCGCCAACTGAAGCTCCGCAGAGGATGGATGATGCAACAGGACAATGACCCAAAGCATACAAGTAATTCAACAAAACAATGGCTGCAACAGCACAGAATACGCCTTCTGGAGTGGCCCAGTCAGAGTCCTGACCTCAACCTGATTGAAATGCCGTGGCATGACCTTAAGAGAGCGATTCACACCAGACATCCCAAGAATATTGCTACACTGAACAGTTTTGTGAAGAGGAGTGGTCCAAAATGACTCCAGATCGTTGTGCAGGTCTGATCTGCAACTACAGGAAACGTTTGGTTGAGGTTATTGCTGCCAAAGGAGGGTCAACCAGTTATTAAGTCCAAAGGTTCACATACTTTTTCCTTCCTGCACTGTGAATGTTTACATGTTATGTGAAATTAAACCATGGCAACATCTAATGTTTGTGTAGTATTATGTTCAGCAGACTGTGTTCTTCTATTGTTGTGTCTTAGATGACATTCAGAGCACATTTTATGCCCAATTCATGCAAAACTCCACGTAATCCCAAGGGGTTCACATACTTTTTCTTGCAACTGTATATATATATATATATTTATATATATATATATATATATTTAAATATATTTTGAAATATATTGAATATGGCCACAATTGTAGCATTTCAAATATATGGCAAGATATTTGGGAAGAATATTTTTAAAATATATTTCAAATATATTTTTTTCCATATGGGAAAAACTGATGGTACTAATTACAATGTCAAGTTTTGCAGAATTTGCCAGCACCATGAAAGGATATAGCATGTGAGCAAATATATGAACATTGTCTTGCTTTGATTTGCAGGAGATGGCTAGAGCAGATCCCATCTGCCCTCCCGAAACCATGAACAGCGAAGACATGCTATTCATGCTGTACACCTCGGGTAGTACAGGGAAGCCAAAGGGCATTGTGCACACACAAGCTGGCTACCTTCTCTATGCTTCCCTGACACATAAGGTATGTGATGGGCATAATGCATATCAATGTGAATATTGTAAACAATATGGAAATGTAAAAAACATAGAAAATATCACTTCTTCATTTTAACAGCATGCCTACATTATGCTGGAACTTCCTCCTTTGCCTTTGTGTGGGGTTGAGCCATTCTAACCACAAACACAGGCAAAATGTTCAAAAACATGTCAATTGGAATTACGCTTGCACAGAATGTGAAATATCCTATATTTTATGTACATTCAATATTTGCAAACTGGTGTTCAGTCTACCCAAACCTGCTATTTAAGACCTTTGTAGATCCTAGATGGTTAAAGATGAACTCCAGACAAAAAGGTAAATGTATCATTGAAATACATACAAAGGGGTTGTTTTACCTATATTTTTGTTCATCCAGTCCTGACTTTTATACAACCTCCTCACATAACACAATCATGGTGGTGACCTGACTTTTCTCTTGTAGGTTTTAAAGAAGCCATACATGTATACATGCATTTTTGTCTTTTTTATTATTTTGTAAACTTTATTATTATTTGTTCTTCCCTTGGTGGTGAACTCACTTTTCTCTACCTCTGTTAAATAATAACCCAGCTTGGTCACCTCCCCACCTTGATCCGCTAATAGACAGTAAGGTGTAGCTAAAGAGACTGATGAAGTTACGCCTCTCTCTTCTGCTGTCATTGTGTTGTTTGTCAGCTAATGTGCATGAAGAACACCTAATTGGCTCCTGGTGTGCCCCTCCCCTCTCATAGTTTGCGTGATTCTTAACCACTTGCCCTCCAGAGGATTTGCCCTCTTTCTTCACCAGGCTATTTTTACGATGTGGCACTGCGTTACTTTAACTGACAATTGCGCGGTCATGCAATGCTGAAACCAAATGAAATTTATGTTCTTTTCCCCCACAAATAGAGTTTTCTTTTGGTGCTATTTGATCGCCTGTGCGTTTTTTATTTTTTGCGATATAAACAAAAAAACCCGACAATTTTGAGAAAAAAAGCAATATTTTTTACTTTTTTGCTATAAAACATATCCAGTAAAAAAATTTAAAAATCAAATTTCTTCGTAAATTTAGGCCAAAATGTATTCTGCTACATGTCTTTGCTAAAAAAAAAAATCCCAATACGTGTAAATTAATTGGTTTAACGCGAAAGTTATAGCGTTTACAAATGGCGGTATATATATACTGGCATTTTAAAAAAAATGTTTTCTACTAGCAATAGCGGCGATCAATCAGTGACTTATAGCGGGACTGCGGCTGGCATTCTGACACTGGGGGGAACTGATTTGGTGTCACTGACATTCCCAGTGACACCAATACAGTGATCAGTGCTAATAAAAAGCACTGACACTGTACTAATGGCACTGGGCAGGAAGGGGTTAACATCTGGGGTGATCAAAGGGTTAACTGTGTGCTGTTTCACTATGGGGGCTGTGTGTGTGTTTCACTATAAACACACTGCTTTGTATGGCTCTGCTATGTAGAGTCATACAAACCAGTGTGCAGGAGCTGACAGGGGAGAGATCTGTATTGTATATACACAGGTCTCTCTCCTGACGGAGATACTTGGCGATCAACGGGTGCTGGCGAGTAATCACCGGCCAGGACCCAGTGATTGACAGCCGAGGCTGCGAATGGCGTATATATGTGATTTTGTGCACCCGTGCCTCCCTGTAGCAGTATTTCTGCGGAAGTGGTTAACAGAGGATTACAAGAGACTGAAATCACATCAACTGCAGGCTGCTGGAAACACCCCCCACCAAGCCAATACACAAACACATACATCCCATAATAGTTTGCTCACAAGCAAGACACAAGCAAGACACACAATAGAACAATGGAACCACATGGCAGTAAACAATGAACAACTCCCACACCAATATTAGAACATTTCACCCTGTACCCCTAACAAGCACAGGGTGACTTACACATAATAGGGATATGGGGAGCTGAGACAGGGGTCTCCCCACCCCTCCAAAGGAGGCTGTGTTACATGGGCCCCCCACCCAAAGTGACTCCTGCCACAGTTCAACTTTATAAAAAAAAACTGCCTGTGCAGGTAGGGGGTGTTTGTAGATAAAAAACAATCTGCATAGCTCTGACTAAAGTGAACTAGAAAAGCTACAATTTCTGGGGAAATTGTGTGAAGTGTTCTTGCCTCCACCAACAGTTTACAACTGGAGTGGGCTGAGTAACTGGGTGGAGTGGCTTTTCACTCTGCTGCCTGCTCACACACCTGGGTTCCTATGGCAACTCACTCTACAGCAGAGAAGAGCGGTTAAAAACAAACTGCTCCAACTTGCTCACTTCACTGGCGGTTGCCATCTTCAGATGGTTGTAGTTTAAAAATTATAAATCCTACACCGAAGAGCTTTATATTGTGAGAATCAAAAGACCCAGACCTACATTTTGATGTATAGTTGAGGTGGCTAAAATCTGGAGTTTCAATGAATGTCAATGGGTGGCGTGAGTTGCAATCAAATGGTCATATTGTGAAAAATATTAGGACTATGGCTTAGCCATGGACATTTTTAGTGGCAGCAGGGATAGCTGAACGTTTTGATATAAGATGTGTGTAGGTGGGCTTGAAAATGAGGGAGTGATGGCAGTTTAGAAATCATGTCCTGATTTTTCAGCTCCCACTCTAGTTTTGAATATTCCGCCATTCATTCCTATGGGACCAATTTCACCACATAAACGCCAATATTTTGTGAACCATTCGGCGAAACGTTCCACAAAGTAATAGCACACCAATCGGGAACAATTCACACGTTTCGGTATATTACTGTCTATGTAGTAAAAACTGTGGGAGGAGTTAGGGTGGTAAATTTTGGCTATAATAATAAGAATATATATGTGAGATAACAGTAAGTGGTCTTGCCATGCAAGAACACTTAATAATGCCCTTTGTATAGATGTAGGCCATTTACATACCTACTGAAACAGCAACAAAACCGCCTGCGCACAGAGACCCAAGTCAGAATTCAGTGGGTTGAACCATATATGACCATTCATCCAGTGGCCGATCAAAGGTCTAACACAAGGCTGGGGAAGCCCAATATCAGCTCTAAAAGAGAACAAAAACAAAAGCGCACCAACCTTGCGCATTACCTCAGTGAGTAAAGGGTGAATTTATTGAATTCAGCTTTAAGGAAGAAGGGATCACTCTTCGAAACGCATCAGCTTCATCCAGAGAGTCTGTCCTCTCGATGGGACCAGCACGTGTCTGCTATCCCAGTGCGCTGATGTTGGATTTTATATGCTTTTAAATATTGCTACTTTTGTGATTATATATCTCAATTCAATAAATTCACCCTTTACTCACTGAGGTGCGCTTTTGTTTTTGTTCTTTGTTACATACCTACTGAAAACTTCTAGGATGTTTCTAAGACATTGGTAAGTGATGCGTAGTCATTACTGCTCAAGTCCATCATCATAACAGTGAGCTTTCCCTCTGATAAACCACCCTCACATGCTCCTTCTCTCCCTTGGTGCAGTAGCATTGAACTCGGCATTTGAGAGTTCACTCCTGTGATGGAGGAGGTGAGCAGTAACAACTAGGCCTCACTTAGCAATGTCTTAGTAACAGCCTGCAAATATTTCTGTCAGGTTTCGGTAGGTAAGTAAATGGCCTACACCAGTGGTCGGCAAGCCGCGGCTCGCGAGCCACATGCGGCTCTTTACCCAGTCTAATGCGGCTCTTCTGTGTGCCGGGCGCCTGCTCCCCTCCCTCCTCTCGGTCGGCCCGCTCCCCTGCCTCCTCTCGGTTGGCAGCCCCAAAAGTCCGCGCGGACCTTTTAATCCGGCCTGCGGATGTGGCTGTCAGGATGTGTGTAGGCGGGGCAGCGTGCCGAACGTGAGGGGAGGGGAGCTAGGCTCCTCTCACAGTCCGCCCTGAAGACCCGAACGGCGCGGGAAGACAGCGAGAGGAACGCAAAAGGTAAGTGAATTGACACGGGGGACTTGGCTTACTAGAAGGGGGGGGGGGAATAGTACTGTGGGGGATGAAATACTATATGAGGGATGAATTACTTTATGAGGGATGAAATACTATATGGGGGGATGAAATACTATATGGGGGGATGAAATACATATGAGGGATGAAATACTATATGAGGGATGAATTACTATATGAGGGATGAATTACTTTGAGGGATGAAATACTATATGGGGGGATGAAATACTATATGGGGGGATGAAATACTTATGAGGGATGAATTACTATATGAGGGATGAAATACTATATGGGGGGATGAAATACTATATGAGGGATGAAATACTATATGGGGGATGAATTACTATATGAGGGATGAATTACTTTATGAGGGATTACTATATGGGGGGATGAAATACTATATGAGGGATGAAATACTATATGAGGGATGAATTACTATATGATGGATGAAATACTATATGAGGGGATGAAATACTATATGGGGGGATGAAATACTATATGGGGGATGAAATACTATATGAGGGATGAAATACTATATGAGGGATGAAATACTATATGAGGGATGAATTACTATATGAGGGATGAAATACTATATGGGGGGATGAAATACTATATGGGGGGATGAAATACTATATGAGGGATGAATTACTATATGAGGGATGAAATACTATATGGGGGGATGAAATACTATATGGGGGATGAAATACTATATGAGGGATGAATTACTATATGAGGGATGAAATACTATATGGGGGGATGAAATACTATATGAGGGATGAATTACTATATGAGGGATGAAATACTATATGGGGGGATGAAATACTATATGAGGGATGAAATACTATATGGGGGGATGAAATACTATATGAGGGATGAAATACTATATGGGGGGATGAAATACTATATGAGGGATGAAATACTATATGAGGGATGAATTACTATATGGGGGATGAAATACTATATGAGGGATGAAATACTATATGAGGGATGAAATACTATATGGGGGATGAAATACTATATGGGGGATGAAATACTATACGGGGGATGAAATACTATACGAGGGATGAAATACTATACGGGGGATGAATTGCTATGGGGGAATTACTATATGGGGGATGAATTACTATGGGGGATGAATTACTATATGGGGGATGAATTACTATATGGGGGATGAATTACTATATGGGGGATGAATTACTATGGGGGATGAATTACTATGGGGGATGAATTACACTATGGGGGATGAATTACACTATGGGGGATGAATTACTATATGGGGGATGAATTACTATGGGGGATGAATTACTATATGGGAGATGTATTTTCAGTTTTAAAAATGTGGCTCTCAAAATAAATTTCAATCATGGTTTTGGCGAGATTTGGCTCAGTTGAAAAAAAAGGTTGCCCACCACTGGCCTACACTATAGAAAAAGCAATATTCAATATTCAATAAAGAGCTTCACAGTTTCTTTATTTTAGCTACAGACACCCCTTATCTGCGTAGGCGGCTTTTTGGTAAAGGTGAACTAATCCTTTAATGACTTCTCATAAAATACATAATTGTATTCATTTGTGTTTTTTTATATCTTCTTTGAGTTCAGTATATTTCTTATATTTCAATGAGGAGAGCTCTGCAATTGAATTCCTAGTTCTGCATACCTGTTGTGGATGTTAGGATGGGTTTCAACTCTGCCTGATAGATTTTTACTTTATTTTATATTATTGAGAATGTAATAGAAAGAGCTGAAACGCAAAGATGGGTGCAAACATGGAAAACTCCCAGGTGAACCAGTAAAGGAGTTAGAAATATACTGGGGAGATTTCCAATACATGGGGGCTGACTTGACACACACAGGTTCCATCTGTTGTAACAAAAGATTGCTGTGGATGGACTTTATTAACTACTTTCTGTCCAGCCCATGCACATAAACGGCCTGGTGGTAGCAGTGCCGAAGCAGGTTGCCGTTTATAAACGGCCTCCGCATTCACTGCCTGTGCATGCTCCCTGGGAGCGCGCGGTACCGCAAACACCAATCGCTGTATGGGACCTCTGTGGTCCTGATCATGTGATCACTGATTGGCCAATCAGCAATCACATGAATAGTAGTGAACAAGATGTCCCTTCCTGACATCATTGCTTACTATGTGTGAAATCTGTGAATGATCACAGAGGTCAATGGTACAAGGCTATTCAAAACAGCCTTGTACCATGTGACAAGCTGTGACCAATCACAGCTCTCACAGTATTTCTCAATGGCTGCAAGAATGCAGCCAGAGAGAAGGAGAAATGATTGTTTTTTTTTACAGCCTTTATGAGTTTGTAAAAAAAGAAAAGAAAAAATCATCACCCCCCACAAGTAGTACAGTATCAGTATGGTGACACTGTACTGCTAGAGTGATGGTATGTAAAAAAAAAAAAAACATAAATAATAATATAAACAAATAAAATAAAAATTAAAAAAAAAATAACTTTTGGTTATAAACTAATTTGGGTTATTTTTTTTACTAAAAAGATAGCTGAATACATTTTGGCCAAGATTTATGAAGAAAGATTATTTATTTGCAAAATTTTATAAGAAAACACTTTTTTTTTTTTTTTAAATGTTTGGACTTTTTCATTTATATAGCAAAAAAAAATAAAAATCCCAGTAGTAAATAAATACCACCAAAATAAAGTTTTATCTGTCTCAAAAAATGCTAAACAATTCATATGGGTACAGTGTTGCATGACCACGCAATTGTCATTCAAAGTGTATTGGCATTGAAAGCTGAACATTGGCCTGGACTGAAAGGGGGTGAAAGTGTCCGCACTTGAAGTGGTTAAATTAGTAGTCCTTTCACAAAGAGGAGTAGCTGACCAGACAGAGCTGTTCCTCTATGTGATTATACCAGGAAGTCTGTTGTATGCAATAAAATATTTCCAGGCATATTTGCTACTTCATCCCTGAAAGAACAGAAATATGTAAATAATCTGCCATATTTAGTTTAGTTCAAATCCACACATATGATCATTCAGTTTTTGTTGGATGCTGGTGGGTTAACTGACATGACAATTTTTTTTATTATCTCTTGGTGAGAAATTATATTTAAAGTCCTGGTGTGGCCATTATGAAGATCTATCACTCTCATTTTGGGGGTTTTTGATTTATATTAGATTAATAAGAATACATATATACTGTATCTGTGCTTTTTTTAGTTACTTTGTAAAGTTTCTTATTATTTTTTTTCTTCCCAGTACGTGTTTGATTACAGTCAAGGAGATGTGTTTGGCTGTGTAGCTGACATTGGCTGGATAACAGGGCACAGTTATGTTGTGTATGGACCCCTCTGTAATGGGGCCACCAGTGTGCTATTTGAGAGCACTCCAACTTATCCAAATCCAGGTAACCATTTTTGGCATTGTACTTTATTTGTATCTGATGAAAGGTCATTTCACCCTGGCTTCTCATTTGTCTGATAAAAAAGCATGAGCAAATGAATGCTGAAACTCCTGTGCTGGACAATGAGCTGCACAGTCAGTAACCCCACATTGAGTGCTTTTTAGGAATGGAAGCCTTGCTGCCCTCTACGGTCCAGGGAAATCTAAAGGAGCTGTGTGCAAAGAAACACACAGAGGGCGCACAGGCCTAGTGCATTACCTTCTAAAAATTAGATTTATTGAATAAAAAATAGTATACTCACAAAAGAATTAAAGGCACATCACAAAAAAAACAGGTCCAATCTCCCTAGATGATGGTTGTTGGGGGACTGTAGGCCTCTACATTTTTGACGCGTTTCGAGACAGAACCTCTTCCTCAGGTTAGTATAATACTTTTTATTCAATAAATCTCATTTCTAGAAGGTAATACACTAGGTCCGTGCGCCCTCTATTTGTTTTAATGTACACTTCTCATATGTCTGCCTGACAAAATTGGGGGAAGGGTTTTATTTTTTATTAAAGTCTAACTCCAGATGGGTAAGTGTTAAAGCCACTGTCATGATTTTAATGTTGTCTATGACCCCCAGTAAAGAGATGTACTGTATTCTTATTTCTTGGGTGGGGCATAAAATAAAGAAAAATGTTTGTTTTTTTTAAATATTTTAATTCAAATTTTCACATTACTCCAAAAGAGAAAAATAATGTCATTTAGTGAAATACATAAGCAATACAGAATATAGAAGTTAAGAGTCGTATCATACCATAACAATCATAACTGACTAGAGAAGCGATGACCAATATAAACAGATGCATCCCATAACTTGGGGGATGAGCATATAGTTAGAGGAGATACTCAAAAGCGTGGATGATAGGGGTGTTTCTCCCTAGCACCATGGTCATAATAGTAAGGAGAATATCAAAACATATGATCTCTTAGATTGTATTGTCAATGTACTGTCTGCCCTGTTGTAAAGAGCTGCATAAACTGTTGGCACTATATAGATACTGTATAATAAAAATAATGATCTTGGGCAGGGAATACATGCCGAGTTGCAAATAACTACTACTACTACTAACAATAATAATCTTATAGCCTACAGCAGGGGTGGGCAAACTGGCCACCCTCCAGCTGTTGCGAAACTACAAGACCCATCGTGCCTCTGCCTTTCAGAGTAATGCTTGTAACTGTTAATCTTGCAATGCCTGATGGGACTTGTAGTTTGGCAACAGTTGGAGGGCTGCCAGTTTGACACCTGTGGCCTACAGGGTCTGCATAAAGTCATATGAATAGTGAATGCAAAAGATACAGGAAGTGATAATAGGATGATACTATGGCAGGTAGAGGATGGGTGTATTTAACACCCCGCTCGGGCAGGGGGGTTCATTGCTCAGAGTGGGGGCAGAATCTGGTATTTTGAGTTTGCCCAAAGTTGCCTTGGCGTACCAGGCCATGAATTGGAAAATGGTCATAATGTGGGGTATTTCAGTCATTGAGAAAGAATGTTCTCAATGAAGACTCTGCAGCGAGTAAAAAAGTGTTTGGTGGGTCCAAAATTTTGAAGCATGGTGCCCCAATTTTTCCAGATATAGGAGCATTTTCAGCTCCTGGTTGACCAAGGAGATTGATGGACTGTGAGGAGATATCCAGACCTTGAGAAGGGCCCAGTAAGATGTTGCATATTTGAGCATTGTAGTTTTTCGCCATTTCGCATGTGCAGGAAATTTTAAGCTTGAGATATTTGGTAGATATTTAGTCAACACAGTCTCATATTTTGCAAAAACATTAGAGACTATTTTGTGTGTGTGCACTAATTTTATTTTTAGTGTATATTTTGCTTAAAATAAAGCTCTGAAAAACAGTTTGCGGAAGTTTTGTGCAACATAAAAATTTGCAACTACTAAATTTTTTTTCTACAGGCTTTCAAAATATATAATGTTTTGAGGTTTTATGTCATTTTCCGTTGTGATCGCTGTACATGGTAAAAAAAATGCATGGGTGCACAGCACAAGTAGTATATTACATGTATCCAAGGAACGAGGAGGCATGCACGGGACTTTAATAGGAGCCACGAAATGTGAAACCCCATTCTCACTGACCCTTCTTTGTGTGGCGAGGCATACAAATCCTGGCATTTTCTGGTTACTGTCGAGCCACACATGCCACATACAGCTGCCAACACAAATAAATAGCTGTACACCGCCATGCTCAGACTAACATCAATGGCTTCTGCATTGGCGTTCACCCACACATGTGGGTACAGCACTTCTCTTTCTTAATGGGCAACTCTTCGAGAAACCTCTTCTCTGATTACCATCATTGTAATCTTGTGATCTGGTCCCAGGTGTCTGTGGATCTCTATGAGCTGTCAGGAGCCACTCAACATGCGAGAAAGACAAAATGGAATGGAGCACAGTGGCTAAGTGGTTAGCACATCAGCCTGGCAGCACTAAAGTTGCCAGTTTGAATAACAACGTGGAGTTTACATGTTCTCCCTGTGCCTGCGTGGGTTTCCTCCCAAAGACATGCTGGTAGGGTAATTGGCTCTTGTCTAAATTGTCGCTAGTATATGAATGTTAACGAATTTAGATTGTAAGCTCCTTGAGGGCAAGGACTGATGTGAATGTACAATATACAGTATGTAAAACGCTGTGTAAACTGAATGCTATATAAGTACCTACACAGCACAGCCATCCACAGCAGTGTGATTACAGTGAAGAACACACCCTCCCTCCCCCTAGTAAAACACTCCCTACACACATGTTAACCCGTTCCTGCCCAGTACCATTAGTACAGTGTCAGTCTTTTTTTAGCACTGATCACTGTGTTGGTGTCACTGGAGATGTCAGTGAAACCAAGTCAGTTCCCCCCAGTGTCAGAATGTCCGCCGCAGTCCCACTAGAAGTTGCTGATTGCCGCCATTACTAGTAAAATATATATACCGCCATTTGTAAACGCTATAAATTTCACATAAACCAATTAATTTACATGTATTGGGATTTTTTTTTTAGCAAAAACAAGTAGCAGTAGTAAATTTATGACGAAATTTGATTTATTACATTTTTTTACTGGACATGTTTTTAATAGCAAAAAGTAAAAAATATAGTTATTTTCTCAAAATTGTCTTTTTTTTGTTTATAGTGCAAAAAATAAAAAACGCACAGCTGAGCAAATATCACAGAAAGAAACTCAATTCGTGGGAAAAAAGGACGTAAATGTAATTTGACTGCACCACTGCACAACCGCGCAATTGTCAGTCAAAGTAACGCAGTGCCGTAATGCAAAAAATTGCCTGGTTAGGAAGGGGGGTAAATCTTCAGGAGGGCAAGTGGTTAAATGCCAGAATTCACCGTATGTTTTATAAATACATTAGTGACAACAACTAGACCTGTGATCTTTTATGGTTACTCCTTTTTTTTAAAACATTTGACTTTACTATAGAAGTGAAATAGTTTTGTTTGGAAGCCAAGTTGTCACGAGTAGTGCAATTTAACCAGTGTGCTATATAAATCGTGTGATTGTTATTGTTTAGGGCGGTACTGGGAAACGGTGGAAAGGTTGAAGATTAATCAGTTTTATACAGCACCAACAGCTATACGTCTTCTGCTGAAATATGGAGATGAGTGGGTGAAGAAATATAACAGGTCATCTCTGAAAATGTTGGGATCAGGTATGTAGAGGATAACAGTAAAATGACATAATAGCAATGTGATAACATAATTGCAGTAAGATCAAAAAAAGGAGTAAGTCACAGTTACCCATATCCAGTAGAAGATCAATATTGATCTGAAACAAGCTGCCATCCAGAGATCACTGATGCAATCCTCAGTAAAGTTGAACTCCAGGTATAATCTTTGTTGTATCCTCACTTTGGTCCAGTTATGTACAGTATATCTCATACCTAAGGGTACTTTCACATGGGCATTCCATTTTTTTCATCAGTTGAGTCCCGTTTTTTCAAAGAAAGAACGGATCAGTTTACATCACTTTTTGATCAGTTTACATCTGTTTTTTCATCAGTTTACATCAGTTTTTCATCAGTTTACATCACTTTATGATCAGTTTACATCTGTTTTGTCATCAATTTTTCATCAGTTTACATCACTTTTTGATCAGTTTATGTCTGTTTTGTCATCAGTTTACATCAGTTTTTCATCAGTTTACATCAGTTTTTTCATAAGTTTACATCAGTATTTTCATCAGTTTCTTGTCAGTTTCTCCTTATTTTCTCAACAGTTTCTCATCAGTTTTTACATCAGTTTTTACATCCTATACCAATGCAAAAACAAATGCAAAAACGGACTGTATGTCTGTTTACATCCATTTTTTTTAATGGAAGAAAAATAGGATTTTCTTTCATTCAAAAAAACGGATGTTAACGGATGCGGACATTAACAGATGTAAACAGATGATTATCCAATTACATCCGCTAGAAATACATGGGTGTCCGTTCTTCATCCGTAAATGGAGAGATGAAAAACAAACATATGGAACGCCCGTGTGAAAGCACCCTAAGCCCCGGTTCACGTATATACGGCCGTGCAGGCTGCGTTTGGCGCGGGCACGAGAGCCCATTCATTTGTATGGACTCCCATGCCCCGTGACACGCAGGGAAGAAGTCCCTGTACTTCTTCTGAAAATGCAGCCCACACGGGAACCTCGGTTCCCAGTACGGTTGCGTTTTCCAGTGCCGGCTTCGTGCTGTTAGAACTAATGGCGCCCGCCCGCGGGTCCGCATTCCTCTGTGTGGGTGGACGGCTGCACGGATTTTCATGCGGATCCGCAGCGCCGCCACCCGCATGGATGTGAATCTTCACTAAGGGGCCTTCACTAAGGGGAAGCTGACTACAGTGATAGTTGCTATCTTGTCCTTGTCCAATTAGAAAATGCCTTGTATACATTGAAAAATACAAGGCACTCTGCGAATGGTGCCACTGCTCAGCAAGTGATCCACCCTGTGGTCAGGTGCAGAGTGGAATCTGAAAAATAGCAGAGCTAACAGAGATTGTCAGCTTCACCAGGTACCCCTCAGGTATGAGATATGCATGCTTTTATTGGCCAAAGCTGGACCAATGCAAGTATGCAATAAAGATTATACCTGGAGCTCAGCGTTTAAACTGGACGTTTATAGAGCTGCTGTTTTTGGCTTTTGACATTTTTTTCTACAGCCAGTAAATTCCCCAGCATGTTATCCAATGTGTTCATGCACACATAGGCTTTAATCAGCATCTTTTGGCAGGGGAGGTTTTTGGCTGGAAAAACAACCCAGAACTAGTGGGTTTCTAGAGGAGTTTTTTAGCTGTAAAAATGCTCTAACGCTGAAAAATGCAGCAAAACGCGGTAAAAATGCAGCAAATCGGCGTTTTTGGGGCTTTTTCTTTTTAGCAAAAATTTTTTTTATGTGTAGGAATAAAAAGTGGAAAAATGCAGCTAAACACTAATGCAAAAAACACTGAAAAATTTGTGTTTTCAACTTTACACAGCTATTGCTACCAGCGTTATTAAAACGTCCAGTTTGAATGGAGCCTTATGCCTAATGTAATCATGAAGGAGTGAGCTGGCAAACTCCCCTACTTGCTTGCATGTAGCTTATAGAAAAAATTTGCTGCCCCCCATTTGCCTACTACATTAGGCAGCAGTATACATGGCTGAGGTGCAGAGATAGAGACAGGGCTGGAAGATATGCATTGTAGCAATATTGCTACCATGTTTTCTAATTTGTGCTTTTTATGTGTAGATAGAGTATCCCTTAATCTGTACGTCTATTACCGTGCAAGCCTAAAAATTGTTTAATTCAACCCCTTATTCACCTTTGGTTTTCCCTAATTAGGTCTAATCAACTCCTTCTTCCCCTTCTTCCCTTGCTATCTTTCTTTTCGCCTTTGTAATGTAAATATTTCCATTTTTATTCTTATTTTCTGTTAGATTTTTTTTTAGCAGCACAAATGGAAAAACTCATTCATTTTCTTTGTAAAGAAATGTACTATGCTTTGTACAGAAGTCATTGTAACATGGGTGAATTGCAGAAAAAAATGCACTCTCTTTATACCTAAGTGGATACCACAGGTCAGTTTGGGTGAAAAAAATATCTTGTATGTCTTTATAAAATGTAGAATAAATAATCATTTTTGAAAGATGATACTCTAATGTGATCAGTAGCCTAAGTACTGACAAATTTATTGCCAGATTGGAAGGCCCATAGAAAAATTATATAAAATGTCTTTGGTCCATTAGGAGTTTATAGGTAAGGGATTAGAAGTGGTTAAATGGTGTGTGCATTTAAATATGGACTTTAGCAGGAATGGGGTTGTAGAGGAATCCACTAATTAGGCTCTACTGTAAACACTTGTGCAGACAGGGAACATACTGGCAGGAGGAGAGTGCAGAATGGAAGAGTAGGTGATTTATCAGTTTGCACTATGAAGAAGACACAACATGAAGTTGGACAAAAAGTGATTTTAAACTGCGTTGGAGGTTCTTTACAGTCAGAGCAGTAGAGGTGTGTGGAACTTCCTTCCACAGTTGGTGGCTTCATTAAACTCCGTGACATGTGTAGCACTAGCCCCTTAGAGCTACCTCTGTGACCAAGCCCGGTTGGCGGGGTGATATGCATCAGAAGGCAAGGCTAGAAAGGCGGCTGAGGCCATTCCTCAACATTGGACTCCTGGGGTCAGTTGAGCAGCGTCCATCCCTTCACTTGTATTGGCTGACACTGGAATTGCTCAGACTCATGCTCCCCTCTTCTCACTTGCCAGTGGGGTGATCCTTTTCCTTTCATCCATAGCTTGGAGCGGTGCCATAAGGTATACTTTTCACTACCCCCTTAGGAGTTGCAAAGAGATTTTGGGTCCCCCTACAGTCCTGCACTGCCAGGCAACACGCATCTTTACACAGGCTTGCATCCAGAGTCAGAGGTCAGTCCTTGAGCTTGTTTTTTTTGGTTATTTTTATTAGAGAATTTGAACTGGGATAGGGTTAGGGGTGTACAGGATGCCCAAGGAAACTGATGAACTGAGGACAACTTCCTGGAACTATTAAAAAGCCTCCACATATAGCACAGTCTATGTTGCAGAGCTAGCCAGCGTCTCCTAATGTACCACCCAAGACCCTAGATGAACTCCTCTTTCTTCTTCCAGCAATCTGGAGGTATCCCTGAGCAGGGGATCTGGTGCCTGTTGCTTTAAGAAATGAGCAGTCCAATATAGGTGACAAATCTGGTTTTACACCAGAGTGCGCCTTTCCCTATCCACCCAGGGGGTGCAGGGGTACTCACTCAGATCCTCTCCTGTACCGCTCATGGGTCGGTGGCTGCTACCAGGCCTTCTAGTTGGACCGCTCCTTCTCTCGCTCTGGAGGCCAGTGAAACTCTGAGTTTTCTTCCTTTCCAGCTCCACTGCCTGTGGCTGAGCCCCTCTCTCCATCTGGGTCCCCTCCCAGGCTCTTGCCTTCAGCCTCACATCTTCCTCTCTGTCTTCCACCTGAACTCTCTCCTGCTGTTGAGCAGGCTCACTTACTTTTATGGGTTGTCCTGGCCCATTGCCAAGCCTCCTGTTGGAGATTGGCCAGGATCCCTCAAGAGTACAAATCAGCCACTCCTCAGATCCACCCACTGCCTCTAGACCTTACCCCAAAGCTCTAGAGCAGGGGGAAATTCAAAGCCGAGCCCCTTAGCCCTGAGCACAATTTGACCTCCTGAATATTGCACCCAGACTACTACTCAGCCCTCCTCTCTTAACAATCAGGACCCAACCTCCCCTAGCTTATTAGGAGGGTGCTACATTCACCCACGTTGAAAAACAGCCATGTCCTCATTGACTGAGGGGCAAAAACCAAAATGGCTCCTGAGCCCATGAGCAGGGCATCCTATACATAAAAAGGAGAGGGGGGAAAAAGGGTACAAAACTGGGAAGGGGAATAAAATATGTACAAATACATTAAGCATAGGAAAAAAAAAATTAAGTATCCAGATTTACATATATACAACCTAGCTACACAACTCTGCAGCTAATAACGAGAAAAATTTGAAATATATACAGTAAAATATACATCTGTGCACAAATAAACTGTGGATTGCCTCTCCCGCAAGGGAAGCCCTCCACACAAACTTAACAAAGTATACTTTATGTCTAGTAGGAAAGACAGCCATCCTGGATAACATGCAAATAGTGGGGAAAGAAGAAAAGACAACAGCAAAGAACTTATAACATAGCACTATTACTGGCTAACTTTCTAATAAGGCACCTCAACAATGAATAATGTATTAAGTCCTTTGCAGGTTAAAGAGGAGCCCCTCCTAACAAAATTGGGTGGGATAAGCTGTCTCCTAGAAATATAGAGCAGCACATTTGGGGCATTACGGTGGAGTCTGGTAAAGTCCGTATGATAAATAGCACAAAGGCCTACTAGACCTGGATCCTGTGTCAGTCCTAGTAGTACTTCCAAGGGCAAGGCAGTCTCACCATAGTGCCATCAGGTTTCCGGGGTAGCCACTGAATAGTCACAGTTAGGCTGATCAGCCTTAATAACTACCACCCAGTCCCTGTAAATAGCCCAACCTTTGCTCCACTCTTGCTCCTGCAAGCGAGCTCAAGCTTCCTCCAGATTGGGTGCTCTCAAGTGTATGGGGACATGTATGTGGTCTCAGATCAAGTCCTCTTCCCATTGGGCTCTGGACTCCTCAATTTTGTCCATGATTTCTTCAGAGATATATGGATAGTCCAACCCCCACTCCAAAGCTACCCTGTTCTGTACATATCTCTGAAGACGGGAAAAGTGGGGAAGATACTTTTTGTCCCCTAATCCTGGCTGTACACATGACTGAGGAGAACAAACGACCCATTTCTGTAAATCATTATTCTTGGCCCTGGTCCTAGGCCATAATGAGGAGAATTTTGGCGGTGGGACTTGGGTAGGTATCCTGAACATCCATTCTGGTGTAAGAGGTTCTTCTGATGGCCTGGTCAGCGAGTCCAGGTCCCATGTAGTGCCCCCCCAGTACCATTCTTCCTCAGTATCTCCAGAAGACCCATCCCCCTGTTCAATTTCTAGGGGCCCGATTTCTGACAACAGCCTGGGTGACTCTCAATCTGCATCCACCACTGACACTCTCCGCTGGCTCACCTGAAGATTGAGTGTTCTCGCAGCTAGGCTCCTTCCAAGCAAATGGTCAGGGCCAGTGGGTGTAGCTGGCTGATCTGAGGCATCGGCTGGTTTTGTCAGGGCAGCACTTGTGGGCACAGGCTCTCCAGCAACATCTTTAGGCGAGTGGCGGAAGATGTCAGGCAACATCCTTCGCTGCAGGGGTTCGCTGTAGGTGCAGAGGAGTCACAGTCCAGGGACTCGATCCCGCTCTGTAGCTCAGGCACCAAACTTCCTCACTGATTCTAACTCTCTGGCCTCTCTGTGCATAGCACCATCAGTAGGTCCACACTGCATGTGCGAGGCACCAGACCGCTGAGCATCAGCTTGTTGTGTGGCTCTCCACAGTACCCGCACCTGACCTTGACCCTACATTCAGGGCAAATTAGACATAGTCTCTACGTCCCTTCGACCAGCCCCAGGCCAAAAAATCTGCGGTGTCAAAGGTGGATGCCCATGTCCGCTAGGGTGTTGTCTGGCATGAAGACTTTTGGAAGCACTTGCAATACGCCCTCCATCTTGCTCCTCTCACTCTCTCTCTTCACGTGTTGGGTGTAGAGGGCAGTTTTTAGGGCAGGCATATTTGGCGTGGCAACGCCCACATGCACATTCAGGACTCTAGCTCCCCCTAAAAAACTAGGAAAGTGCTACACACATTTCTCAGGGACTACAATATACAGGAATATGGGAAATCCATAGTGACAAGTACACACACACATATATACAAATATAGGTTAAAGTGGATGGACCTGCATCTTTATTCAGCTTTACCAACTATATAACTATGGGGTTGATTTACTAAGACTGGAGAGTGCAAAATCTGGTGCAGCCGTGCATGGTAACCAATAGGCTTCTAACTTCACCTTGTTCAATTAAGCTTTGACAAAAAAACCTGGAAGCTGATTGATTTCTATGCAGAGCTGCACCAGATTTTGCACCATGCAGTTTTAGTGAATCAAGCCCTGTGGAACAATTAACATTTGTAATGTCAGTGATGGCTTCTATGGACTGTAGTTGCAGATTGACAGTATCAAGAAAAGTGTAAATGCCTTTGATTTATTGCAGGAGAACATTAAAATCCTCAGTTTTTCATTCAGATAAAACTGACAAAAATGATACTGTGAGTTAAATATTGTCTTATTTATGAAACTGTTTCAGTATAGCACTCATGAAAAAAACCCACATGAGAGTTTTTGGAGTTTAGCATTTGGCAGCGATGCTATAAATTACACCCAACCAGGCACAGAAATTCCTCTGTCATTATCACTAACACATTGCTGTAGCCCTTGCCGAGCCGTGTGATATTGTCACATGTTTGGAAAAAGTTGCCCTTTTTGAACTTGCTTCTTCTTGTCCTAGTTTGCTAGGTCACTCCTATTGATGTACAAAATGCAGTATGCATCACTGACTTCATTCTTCTTGGATTTTGATTGCAGTGGGTGAGCCAATAAACCACGAAGCGTGGGAATGGTTTTACAATGTGGTTGGGGAGAGAAGATGCACCCTTGTGGACACCTGGTGGCAGACAGGTAAACGGTGGTTTTATTGTACATTGTATGACCAAATTGGGCTTATTTAAAGGAAAACTATAATGGTTTCTTATCAGTTTTATTTATTAAAGTCTAAGAGCAGGTTAACCACTCACCCTCCTGAGGATTTACTCCCCTTCCTGACCAGGCCATTTTTTGCGATACAGCACTGAATTAATTTAACTGACAATTGCGTGGTCATGCAATGCTGCACCCAAATGAAATTTACGTCCTTTTTTCCCACAAATAGAGCTTTCTTTCTGTCGTATTTGATCGCCTGTGCGGTTTTTATTTTTTGCTCTATAAACAAAAAAAAGACCGATAATTTTGGAAAAAAAAATTATATTTTTAACTTTTTGCTATTAAACATGTCCCATAAACAGTTAAAAAATCAAATTTCATCATAAATTTAGGCCAAAATGTGTTCTAATACGTCTTTCCTAAAAAAAAAAAATCCCAATACGTGTCAATTAATTGGTTTACGTGAAAGTTGTAGCATTTACAAATGGCGGTATATATACTGGAATTTTTTTCTTTTTACTTAGTAATGGCAGCGATCAGTGACTTATAGCGGGATTGCGGTGGGCATTTTGACACTGGGTGGAACTGACTTCCCCAGTGACACCAATACAGTGATCAGTGCTAATAAAAAGCACTGACACTGTACTAATGGCACTGGGCAGGAAGGGGTTAACATCTGGGGCAATCAAAGAGTTAACTGTGTGCTCTGTATGTGCTTTCCACTGTAAGCACACTGCTTTGTATGGCTCTGCATAGCAAAGCAGTGTGCAGGAGCTGACAGGGGAGAGATCTGTGTTATTTATACACAGGTCTCTCGCCTGTCGGAGACACTCGGCGAACACCGGGTGCCAGCAAGAAATCACCGGGTCGCAGCCAAGGCCGCGAATACCTGGAACTGCAAAATCACGTATAAACCCATGCCACCCTGTAGCAGTATTTCTGCTATAGGGTGGCACAGAACTGGTTAAAAGCTAAATGCATTCCTGTGCATTTCATGTGGAGCCATTATTAGCTCATTCATTTGCAGATTATATGTAAATTTTAAAAAAATCATTTAAATAACCTTTACTGCCTGTTCACACCAGAACAGCCATTATTAGCTCATTCATTTTGAATGGGCTGAAATTGCAATGAATCGCACAAAAAGTAGTGCTTGCACCACTTTTCAAAAAAACTCATGTAACTACATTATCATGCAATCCAGCAGGCAAACGCACTGCGATCTGCGTTTGGGGTGTTGTTATGAATATATCAACACCCACAGCAGAACGCACACCTAGAGAGTTTCCCTCACTGCATTCTGGTGTGAACAGGCAGTAAAGGTTTTTTAAATGATTTTTTTTTTAATTTATATATAATCTTAGTTTTGAAAATAAATATTTAATACAGGGCGCATCCATAACATGCTGTCTAGTAGTTGAAACTGGAGACAGTGACTGAGTTACTACTCTGTTTTCTAATGTGTTGTCAATGCACAAATAATTAGGTGCTGTGTGATTTTGTTAAGATCAGGATAATGTAATACAGAGAGCTTCTGCATAAATGACTTGTAGTGTTGTAACTTTGCATTGCAATGCACTGCAGCGCCCATCCACAGTGCATTAAGCCATGGGTCATGATGCATGTTATAAAATGAATGAGCTTTCATTCAGCTGTGTGTGTGTAATTTGAACTTTAGCTATTCATCTCTGTAAACAATATACTTAACATTGTAAACATTCACCTCCAGCTTGAAAATAGTAAAAATCTCTATATATCATGAAAAAATTACTACAGCAATTCAGTTACAGTTGCAAGAAAAACTCTGTGAACCCTTTGGGACTACGTGGAGTTTTTGCATGAATTGGGCATAAAATGTGCTCTGAACGTCATCTAAGTCACAACAATAGAAGAACACAGTCTGCTGAACATAATACTACACAAACATTAGATGTTGCCATGGTTTAATTGCACATAACATGTAAACATTCACAGTGCAGGGAGGAAAAAGTATATGAGGCCCTAGCTTAATGACTTCTCCCAGAGCTAATTGGAGCCAGGAGTGAGCCAACCTTGACTCCAATCAGTGTGATGATATTGGATGTGTTGCTGACAGCTGTCCTGCCCTTAAAAAACACACACCTGTTTTGGGTTTACTGGTTTCAAGAAGCACTGTCTGATGTGAACCATGCCTCGCAGAAAAGAGCTCTCAGAAGACCTACGATCAAGAATTGTTGACTTGCATGAAGCTGGAAAAGAATTCGAGAGTTTATCAAGACATTTTGCAGGAAAACGTACGACCATCTGTCCGCCAACTGAAGCTCCGCAGAGGATGGGTGATGCAACAGGACAATGACCCAAAGCATACAAGTAATTCAACAAAACAATGGCTGCAACAGCACAGAATACGCCTTCTGGAGTGGCCCAGTCAGAGTCCTGGGACCTCAACCCGATTGAAATGCTGTGGCATGACCTTAAGAGAGCGATTCACACCAGACATCCCAAGAATATTGCTACACTGAAACAGTTTTGTGAAGAGGAGTGGTCCAAAATTACTCCAGATCGTTGTGTAGGTCTGATCTGCAACTACAGGAAACGTTTGGTTGAGGTTATTGCTACCAAAGGAGGGTCAACCAGTTATTAAGTCCAAAGGTTCACATACTTTTTCCTCCCTTCACTGTGAATGTTTACATGTTATTGCAATTAAACCATGGCAACATCTAATGTTTGTGTAGTATTATGTTCAACAGACTGTGTCCTTCTATTGTTGTGACTTGGATGACGTTCAGAGCACATTTTATGCCCAATTCATGCAAAACTCCACGTAATCCAAAAGGGTTCACATACTTTTTCTTGCAACTGTATGTGGACCATTAATAAAAGAATGATTGCTTTCCAAAATGTCACATCTCTAAGACCTGACAACTGCCGTAGTTGAAAACAGGACTAACTCGGTAGGACATGAAATGCCTTAAAATGGTTGTAAAGACTGAAGGTTTTTTACCTTCTGTGTGCAGCAGCTCCCCCAGCCCCCTCAATGTATGCATGAGCCTCATCGATTCAGCAATGTGAATTACAGCCTCGGCTGCCCTTCATTGTCTGAGACAACAAGCGGGAGCCATTGCCAGTAAGCCAATGAGGAGAGGGGGGGTAGGGCAAGCCATAGCTCCATGTGTGAATGAACACAAGGAGCAGCGGGTGCTCCCATAGCAAGCTACTTGCTGTGGGGGCACCTGACAGACAGGAGGAGCCAGGAGAGCCTGCGGGGACCCAAGAAGAGGAGGATTCAGGCTGCTCTGTGAAAAACCACTGCACACAGTAGGTAAGTATAGACATGTTTGTTATTTTACAAAAAAAGAACCTTTAGAATTGCTTTAAGTGGTGTACATCCTTAAATATACCCAGTGAAGTGACTAGCCTCGAGTGATACACATAGATAAAACAAATAATTCTACAGAGGTTGTACCTGTTTATCTGTGTCTCTCTATCCTCTACAGTGTTCTAAAACACACTTATCAAAGGCAATTTCTCAGCTCGAGCAGGCAGGGGGAAGGGATCTGTCATCACACACTGCAAAGAATAGAGAAAAGAGCTCAGTGTAATCTGAGAACTGAGTGAAGGGAATGGACACAACCCCCACCCCACCCTCCTTTCTCTACACACTTGCACATGGAAACATGGACATCTGAGGCTGTCAGTTACCTGCTGTGTGCTGGAGGGGTCTCCCGAGATTGTCTGGTATTGACATTACCTATTAGAAGTGACTCGTGCAGATAGCAGAGGAAGGAAAAAAGTAGAGTAAAATCACAGTTGGTGACTTGGTGCTTTGGATTGAGGCAAGCACACAATATAGTTACAGTAGGTACATTATGCTTCGTTCATTTTTCATTTCCAAGGTATACAACCACTGTAAGATAGATATTCATCTATGTTTTGGACAGACTTACTCGTGGTATGGCTAAATTTTTCTGCCATATATTTGTGGATTTGAGCTATGCATCTATTTATTTGAGAAAAATGATAAACCTGGTGAATATGCAATGTGAATGAAATAATTCCCAGTAAATGAAATAATGTCTTTAAAAAAAAGAAAAAATATCACGTTAGCCAGTGAACATCCAGTGAACACTGATAAAAGATTAACTGCATTGACTAAAGTGAAAAATAAAGAATATAGCATCTTATCTAAGAATGGAGTTAAACAACAAGAATTTTTGTGTGCAAGATCTTCCAACCATGACTGCCCTTACATGTTGTTGGGTACTTTTCTAAAAATAATTGTATGACCGCTCTACAGTAGACCCAGGCAGACATAGAAATGTATACCCCTAGGTACACAAGAAATGTCAAGTGACATTTCATTGTGTTGGACATTTGGTGCCATAAATGTGGCCCCATTACAGAGGTGTCACACTGATGATAGGAATAGTCATTTATACCTGTGCCTAATGTCTCTTTTGGTGAAGCTTACCTTTGTAGAATGTGTAGTACCTTAAAGTAATTTTCTTCATAAATCACAAGAAAGCACTTCCATTTTGGCACCCCAGCCAGCTGTCAGGAGCAATGGAAATACCTGTTACTTCTGAGTATGGAGGAAAATGTGATTCACCCCCTTTTTCTCAATGAATGCATTCTTTGAATGAATCTCATGTAGACTGTGATAGACCCAACCAGGACAGGGGCTTTTGGAGGGGACTGCAGGCTAGCCTCTTGCCTACTGACCCCATGGTTGTGTATTTGTCCCATTGTTAATTGAAATAATTCAGTCACCAATTGTTTGGTTCTTCTAGAGGTCCCTTCATGATGGGATTAGTCTGGTGTCAACTTGACCTTGTTACCTAATCAGTGTGTGATGTTTATCCCAATGTGTAACGTTTGTTTTATTGTTCATGTGGGGACTACTCTGAAGTGTAGAAAAACCTGTATTTCTGTTCAATAAAGAGTTCCAGTTTGCATCTAAGCAAGTGTTGTCTAGTCTTGGGTGCAATGCCCAGCTACAA